TAAATTGGCCACCGTAACGAATAAAAAAGCTGACGTTTCCAGCGTTACCCCTTCGTCAGAGCGAATTGAGGAATTGCGGGTTGTATTGTAATTAAAGTGTCTAGCAACTGGTTTTGATGCGTCCTCGTCATTCCTTTCTACGTCGCGAAGGTGTTCTCGGAATCGGTCACCCAGTCGTCTTCCTGTTTCGCCGATGTATAACTTTTTGCAATAAGTACAAGTTATAATATAGATTACGTTGGCGGAGGTGCACGTGAAGTGATCGGTGATCTTTGTAATCATAGTGATCATAGATCGGTGATCTATGCAATACAAGGGTTGTAGAAGGATGTAGCAACGTGCAAAATTTGCAAGAGGGTATCGCGCTTCATACATTCCTCATACAACACACCTAGTCGGCATATTTCGGACAACATCGACGACAAACTTCCCAAACAAGTGAAAATATGTGAAATGCAGACTTTCGTGTTCTCGATTTGACGTCACATTACCCGCTAGAGCCATTCCTCTTTAAACTCGGTCGTGGAGCAAGATGGTGGCCGATTTTCAGTATTTTGACTGAGAACAGAAAATTAAAGATTTGAGCAAATTAAAACATTTTTGCACAGAAATACTCCAAAAAATAAGCTTTTCTCGTTAAGCGAAAAAAAATTTTTGGGTTTAGGTGCACTTTAAGCTAAAACATGCATCTTACCGATTTATCACAAATAAAACGAGCGACTTCTTTTTCCCTCATGGTTTTTATGAGTTCCTCCCAAACTTCCAGCTTGAAATTCTTCCCAATGAGGAGCTCGAACGGCTGCCCCAGGTTTCGACTGCAGTCTATTTGTGTCTTGTCTTCATCGTTTTTAAACGTTTTAAAATGGAAAGTTGCCTGGTTTGCATTGAATAGATGAAAAAAATGTGGTAAATTCATGTCCCTGTACAAATTCCTCATTAGCTTTACCCGCTTAAAATAACAACGTAAGAGAAAAATAATTATTCTAGCTGAAATCACCTTTGATCCGTTTTCAAACGATGGTGTTTCACCTTCTCCTGCGTAAAGAACGTTCTTGGATATCAAAGGCTTTCTTTCGTTCGCCATTTTGACAGCTGAAAAATCAACTGCGAGAGACTGGTGATGTATCGCCAACTAGTACCAGTCTCTCTAGAATGCGCATAAAATGCCCAGCCTCGTTCCCAGGGGGCTTTTCCCTTTGGGAAAGACTGAAAAACGCTAGCAACGCCACCCTAAGTGCAGATGTCGTTCCATCAATGAATCAGTCTATACTTTCCCACGCCACAAAGAAACTCTTTGAAAATCCCTTTTTTTTTACCCCTCCCCTGTGCGGCAGTAGCGACCCATCATCTAAGTTGCTCAGAGGGATGGAAACTGGCATGAGTTTTTGTCCTTTTCACCTTCCCACTTTCCTTAACGCTCTCCTCTAGATCTTATTTCATGACATTTTTAATCAATTTGTTAGTAGAAAGAAACGTAGTAAGTATCGGGTTTCACCTGTCTCTGTAATAAGATGTCATTTCCTCTTTTAATGGCACTCACGTGATTCAGTTTTTGAGAGAGTTTGTTTAGTCAAATGTCCAGTAGATTGCCTTCTTTTTGTTTTGTTTTGTTTTGTTTTTTTTTTGTTTTGTTGTCACGAAAGGAGCAGACTGACAGCAATTTTTATAAAAATAACGACACATTTGAAACTAAAGTTATCATGAAGACATGTTTCGGTCGTTCAATGACCATCTTCAGTTGAGAGTAGAACTGATTTGAAGTTACATTTGAATTTAGAATGTTGTACTAAACAAAAAGCTATTGAAACTGACAGAGTACCCAAGGGTAACAAAAGAGTGTATAATGTGACGTGTTAATTAGAACGAAAGAGTTAAGTTAACGTGATATAATCAATTGTTTAAAGAAGGTTGCTCCCAGGAAATATGTAGCGCTTCTTTTATCTTGACCTGGAATCTTGTGGTCGCATGATCTATAACTTTGAAACATTCACCAGAGCAGGAATTGCGACATGCTTGGGATTGTTGAAGATGTTGAAAGATGTGCGAGGTCCTGTCCCTGTCAAACGGTTTTCGCGAATGCGTGTCGAAACTGTGTCGGCTAGTTTCGCCGACACAGCAAGAATTACAGCTTGCACAGGCCGGTAAACTTGTAAACAACATTCGAACGAAGTTCGACAGGCACAGGGTCGTTCACACCTAACATGTTGCGGATCTTGAAGGAGGAAAAGGCTAGCTTAACATCGAGATTGTTACCATAACGTTTAAGTAATTTACTGTTTTGTGCTACAATAGAGAAGGGACCGACATAAGGTAATTTGGAAAAATGTGTAGAATTGGGGCGAGGACTAACAAGTCTCGAAGAGATCTGAGTTTTGGTGATATACTGCCTAATGACTTTCTCAACAATATGACTTGGGAAAAGGTTTTTACGTAAGATTGCTGATTATTGTCACCTATGTAACTCAACTTTTAATAGATCCTATTCAGCAGGTTATGTAAATGAATCTTATAGATATCCTTATTCCTTTTCAGTCTTTTCAGCCACACTTTCGTAAAAGTTCAGTTTTCAAGAGAATCTACTTAGCAAAGTATTTCAATCAGTTCGGTAGAGAATAATACCAAAATTAGTTGGTCGGTGAGATCACTAGAAGCTGACACTTAATAAAAAGCAAATCCACTTAATTGTGAAGTTGTGAAGAGGAACCTGTTTTGGTGGAATTATCAAGTAATATCTGGTCGGAATTTGCATTTGAGGCATAAGAAAATATATTTTTCAGGTCTCAAGGGCTGTAATGAATTAAAATAAAGTGTAGATTTGACTGAAACCAGGATTCCTGCTGAAACCTATTTCATTCTTGTTATCCGCCTCCCAGGGGCGCTTTAACTGCCTAGTGTATCAAAGGCAGATATTTCCTCTTTGCCGCGAATTCAGCATATAGGTTCTAATACATAAAAACTGTGGCCAGGTGTCGATTTACCGGAAAATTCCCCACTCAACTAGTTTGAATTTTTCATCTTCCTTTGAATAGATTTAAATGGAACTTCAACTTTTACATACTGAGTAAATTAAAATGATCCCTATTCTTCTGACTTCATGAATCAAAACGAACAAACTCTTCATAATTAATGTCCTCTGAAAAAAAAGCGGCCACAATTTGAAATCACACATCATTCTCAGCAGAGTTTTTCCTGAATCCATAGCTCTCTTGTATAAAATTCTTTATGTAAGAATTTGAGGGTTTTTTTTTCTGTCATACTTCCTTGCTAACAACAAGGCGGAGAAGTGACAATGGAAGACAAGACTTTGCACCTTGAGTAAGAGAGAACGGATTACGACGATTCACTTATCTATTGAATTAAAAAAAAAAAAAAAAAAAAAAAAACAGCGAATAAACTTTGAAGTCTCGGTCGCTAAATGAACTCAAGAGTGCAATTTTATTACCGGATTATCAAGACAAAAGATGAAAATGTTTACAAGAGTTCTCTTGATGTACAGATATACTTTGATAAGAAAATAACATTTTTATTCCAAGACTAAAAAGCATCAGTCAGAATCTGAGAAAATTCAATTACGACATGTATTTTGTTTTTCCCTTTTATAGCAATATCTATTCACAAGCAATATCAGCAGTAAATGCTTTTGGACGAGCATAAGCAACATGGTTAAAAAATAAAAACATCGTTAAAAATTCACTGACTACTAAAAATCTTCAGTTTTTATTCCCATTTGTGCCTCTCTGCAGGAGATGTTGAACACAGTAATGAAACGAAAATTACTACACTTTTTATACATCTTGCTATTATTGTTAATACCTTGTTTAGTCACATATAATACGTTTATTCGTCGGTGCTTATTCTCGAGGCACCCCCAGAGAAACCCATTTAAATCAGTGAACAGTTTGTCAATTCTAGTTTTCACTGCTATGATAAAGTTTCAAGATGAAATTTTCTTACAGTGTTTTGAATTCGGACGCTTTATAAAATCTAAGCTTTGTTTTTCTTTAATCAATGATGTTTTCGGGCCGTTTCACAAAATAAACCGCGGCAACTTCCGTTCATACTTAATTTTTTGCGAAGAGAAACTAAAGAGTGAACAAAAATTTACATTTAAAGAGGCTTAGCCATAAACTACTTTTGTCACTGAACCATACGACCGAATTATTTCTTCCGATGATATACACTGTCTCTTAGCCGAGAGCACTTAATTTCTGCGGAGCCTATTTAACTTGCTTTTATCGCAAACCACAGCCACATAAGACTAAATAATTAATCTGATTTGCTTCTCACTCAGCATGTCACTTCCCACGCATAAGATTTATCCATAATTAGTTATCTTACCGCGCTGGATAGCTGGTGGCCGTCGAACTAAGCACACCTAATGCCGCGCGCGCGTTCAGCATGAACTCTCGCACCTTCTCCTTATTGGCTACATGCCAGAACAGAGAGCTTTCACTGAACCTGTCACCAGCAGGTTATTTAAATTCATAAAATATCCACGCGACGCTAATTTTTTTTTTGACACGGTAGACAGAGCCCTAACTTCTGTTTCGAGGTTTATTGTACTGTACTGGGTAAAGAGTTGTGTCTAAGCTCCTTCTACCCACCCACAGACAACATTGTGGTAGCTTATGTCTTGAAAAAGTAGTTTCCTAAGATCCAACCCGTGTTTTAGCCCTGGATGTAAACAGGGAAACAAACGTTCTGCGAAGGACAAGTATAAAAATTCAGGTGACGGGAACCAACATGCCGAGTGCTAATCACCCACTGGAAGCTGCGTCTTTGACAGGCCATGATGCTTTCGTAGAGGGAGTCGAATTTAGCAGTAATGGAAAATACATTATGTCTAGTTCCTCAGGTGAGCTGGAGCGGTCCTGCTTTTAATCAGAGATTTTGCTAATTTTTTTTATCATCAAAAAAACTATTAATTTTCTCACCAGAACCTGAAAGCATAGAATGCAGAAATTTCGTTTAGATAACGTTCTGCGTGCGTGAAAAAGCGCGAGACATCGTTGTAGTGAAAACGAGGCTCCATACAGGTGCTATTGTCGTGAATTAACATGGCGGCTGTCCAGGTCGCAACTCTGGGCACGATCGTACTATCTTTGGTGATTGCTGCTGTCGTATTATTGGTCATTTTATACATCAGCTTCAAGAGTAAACAGCAAAAAGATGATAGCTCTGAGAACTTAAAACCAGAATTAGAAGAGAAACAGCCGATCAATGGAGAAAGAAAAGACAAAACGAAGCATCCTAAGGGAAAAAAAGGAAATCTTCAATTGAAGCCCCATCCCAGACAGTTCGCTATTCTTAAAGGCCACACAGGAGATGTTTTTGATTTGGAATTTAGCTTGAATGGGAAATACATGGCATCAGCTTCTCTAGGTTGTCTTATGGGAGATTACGTTCATTTTGGATTTATGTTGATTTTCTCTGGTGTACACGTACACAATTTTGGTTTGTCACGTGCAAGTGATATCAAACTTGTTATTTTTTCATTTAAGCCTTTATCTTAAACGAAGTTTCGTGTAAATAATCCATTATTTATGTTGTGTTTCCTTGCGATGTGGTGAAATTTTACGCGATGAATTTTGTTGCAAAATTCTCGCTTAAATCTGATTGCAGAAATATGAATGCCAGGTTTGTTACAATGAGCAGTTCGTTGCGGAATCCCCCGACTTTCAGAAAATCAAATTAGTCAATTTGAAGCTTATCTTAATGTGCATTGTTTTGTTGATAGAAGAAGCTGGTTTTATGCCAATATGCTATCGAAGAGATAGTTTAAATGAGGTGTGCAAACATTCTAACCTTTCGAGACCGATCTAATTTTTTAGGGTTACAAATTTTTTTTATCCTAAGCTACACGAAGTCTCTCTCTCTGGATTTTTTTTTTTGCGGTTTTCTCGTCATGGAAATAAGAGTTTATTTTACAGTAATCTCAGAAATTTGCATTCTTGTTTGATGTGTCGTTCTTTAAAGATAATTGATTGAGTGATGCAATATTTAATGAATTTTACTCAATTTAAATTTTGTCTGACAATTTCAAACATACTGCTATTGAAGAAGATAATTATTGAAGAAGATGATGAAATAGACTAACAAATGTTTAAAACATAGATTGTAATAAAGTCTTCAAGATTTACTTCACAGAATTTTGAATTAAAAAAACAATCAATAATCTTTCCTCAGGTCTGAGAAATTTGAAGATTTCCTTGTTTCATATGCAAGAAGTCAGAATGTGATCTTTTGTTCCTCACAATTTATTAGAATAATTTTCTTGTATCACATTTTGGTAGTTGAGATCATTTCACCTACATAATTGGCAACCACAAAGTTCAAAACATTTTATATTACATTGTGGTTACTTAGCAAGAGAAACAACATCTGGTTGACACAATAGAAGTATTATCTGTGAAGTGGTCTATTGGTTGAAAATCATGCTTTACAATCATTTGTTCAAAGTAAAAAAAAACTGCAGAAATATTAAGTCATTTATTGTTCTGAAAAGATGCTGATTAGATTGGTTACTAATTGTTGTTGGTAGAGAAGTAAAAAAATAAAAAGACCCAAGTATCTCTTTGAGATTAAACAAGATTTATAGTCAGTTACCTAGATTTTCACCAGTTTTTGTGCCACCAGCAAACATTTTGAAAGACTCTACCGTAAATAATACTGAAGAAGGAGAACGCTTTGATAGTTTTATATGAAATAGGGAATGCATTTAATTAAAAAAAAGTTTTTGCAATATCTGTTTTCCAGATAGAACGGTGAGATTGTGGAGTGTAAAGGATTTCAAAGAGAAAGAACATAAGTAAGTTATCAAATATTGATGTTTTCTTTACTCAAATGACAGGCAGGATTTAACATGGTCTTAATGGATTATATTTCCTTAAAAACCTAGACAAATTAGATATAGTAAACAGCTATTCACCGAAGTGGAGATGGTTAGTGGTGGATGCTTACAGAGCCACAAAGCAGCGAGGTAAACATCCACCGCTAACCACCAACACTGGGGTGAATAGTTGTTTTAGTATATACTAAAAAAATGAGATAATATTTACTTACCGCTCATCATGCCTGTGTGGTTCATAGGGCAGCAATGAAATCCTTCCAACCCTGCCTATCCGTAGCCAGTTTTTCAATTGTGCTCCAGGCATGGGGGTTAGGCTTAAGGCTAACAACCTTATTCTGTGAAAAGACGGAAACAGCAACGAAGACAACCAATATCTTGAGATAATATAAAAAAAAAGTCTTTTTATAGGATTACACACTTACTGGTGAAACAGGTAGTTTCCATTGTGGTCTTTGCAAACAAATGAAACAAATGGTCTAAATTGAACATAACATCAATATACACCACCAAAAATTGATTTGAGTGATTTCTTCGCTTGTCATGGATGCATACCGGGATGCCATTTTTTCCTCAGTTGCTCGGAGGTAAATAGCAAAGGATATTCAGAGTTTGGCTAGCCAATCAGAGTGCGCCTTCAACGCTATCCACTGTTTTAGTATATACTAATTCAAATTATGTACGTCTAGTTATGGTGAATAATTTAATGGAAAACTAAAGTGACCAAGGCTATTTCTGAATTAACTGTGGCTCTTTCTCAAAACAAGGCATGGGGCTCAGCTATTCCTGTGAAACTGAATTTAATTTGTATGTCAGTGATAACTTATTTTATTACACGACTCGGGCAGTCAGAGGGCCAATAACTAAAATCAACCAATCAAAATGCTCTATTGCCAGTCAATATTCTCTCAGTATTAGACCGGGCACTGTCCCGAATGGTCCCGAATGATACTGCACTTGTGTCCCTTGGAACTTCGGTTGTATAATAAATCTCTTATTAACCAAGCTTGCTCGGGACCGTACTGGAAGAATATCGGCCCTCGGTCTTTTTTGTACGGACCGAGTGCAGCGAGGTCCGTACTGTCAAGACCTCGGGCCGATATTCTCCCAGTACGGCCCTCGTGCTTGGTTAATAAGATATATATCATACAAAAGGATGAGCACTAGGACTTGCTTTGAAACAGAGGCCAAAGGTAATTCATAAATGGGCTAATAATAGTGCCCAAAATTTCATAAGCAAAGTGCAGGGCTTGACACCAACTTTTCAACTTACTAGCCAAGTGGCTTGTCACAGCACAGATGTTACAACAATTTCAGTTTGTTTACTAGCCAAACTGGCTAGTGGAAATAAAAAACCACTTGCCAAAACTGAATTTCTCCTAGTCTGTGGCTAGTTGGCTACCATTAGCGTCAAGCCCTGAAAGTGTGGGTGACATACACTTAAGGATTAGAACTTTGGTCTTATCAAAAGTATTTCTGAGTGTTTTGAAAATGTTCCCAAGTTGGTTTTTTCTTTGCAGATATTTAAAATTTGAGAGTAACTTTTAATTGCAGATCAAAAAGGATAATTGGAGGCAATTGTATTCATTGTCTAATGTTTAATATTTGTAAATTTGTGCTGTACATTTTTGCTGTCAGATATGTGAGAGCCAATGTTGATTTTGATCATGCTACAAAGGTCAACTTTAGTCCAGATACAAGGTAAGAAGGTGAATTGGAACCAGAAATCTTTATCAAATTACTCTTTTTAAAAATGACTGGTTCACCTTAAGTCCTGTTGTAAATTGAAAATGACAGGCTGAGCAGATGTTTTTGTCAAACATGGTGTTTTTTGGCATCAAAGGTTCAATTAATTAAGGTGCCTTTCAACCTAGGAATGACCAAAAGGTTATTTGCTCTTTAGTATCAAGACATTTTTTAGCAGAAAGAGGGTGTGTTAAAGCGAAATTTTAAAGTTAGAGATATATTCTGAGTAAACACTGAATTCTCAGAACAAAAAAATTAATAGAATCATATGGCAGACAGTGCTGAGAATTCATATGCAGTGTAGTGCAGAGTAACTCTAGTACATGATTAAATGCACTTAATCTAAAATGCACTTAAAGAATTAGAAGCCCCTTAGGGTACAACATACACAAGCCCAGTTTGTTACGATCATTTATGTTAGGCCCACTTGAAATGTGGGGCTAACATTAAAGAATCAATGAATTTCAACTTTTAGCACAGTTGCGGTTTGACCTTTGATTCTGACATTGCATCACTGATGTATGACAAGCTAAATTGCACTACCCAACTCTAGCGTAATGTCTGAATCACAGACATGCTTCTGGTGTGCTATAGTCAAACCTAATGCAATTAAATTTGGCATGGCAGAAACATGACGTCTGAAGTGAGCCTTAGCAATATTTTGTTCTCCCTTTCTCCTCTAGTATTGTTGTTTTAGTTAAGATTTACATGTCACATTACATGCTCTCTTGAATGTTACTAATTATAATTTTTTTTTGTCTTGTTTTTATTTACTTTCTTGGACACAATTGATCTTGCTTTAATGCATCACATGTTTTGATTTTTGAAATCAAATTATTTAAATTTTGTCAAATTATGCAAGAATACCTTTTCTCTCACATTCACTGCCGGTACCACTCTGAGTGCTCTAATCCGTCTTCATTTTCTGCAATTTTTTTAATGTCCACATAATCAGAAATAATTTAGCTTGTGTTGCAGACAGCCTATAACCACTATTTAAATATTAGTTTTTAACTCATGATATGGCTAGCTTTACCAAACATAGCAACATTCTTTCTTTTTGATAAATTTAACCTTGAGTTCTATTAAACAAGGTATAACTAAATTGTTGTAACTAATAACTTGTTGTAAAATGCTTCTCTTCTTTCTTACTGTTCTGCCAACAGTGAAGATACATCTCAACAACAACCCGTTCGCTTCAGGTTTGTTCAAACTCGATAAACCTAAGCTTGCATGGTTGATGATATTTTACAATTTTTAAAACAAACTTTTTTTAAAATAAAAATCCTATATTCAAAAATGTATAAAATATGTAGATGTGACTAATGAAGATAATTTAATATATATTTTTTTGTGGATAATGCCTCCTCACTTAACAAGAATTCTTCAAATTATTAGTTTAATGTGGGGTCTAAACTCTTCTTTTTAGTTTTTGCATTTCACACTTTAACAGTGCGAAGTCGATAAAAAAAATAACAGGCAAGGATTTAAATCACTCAAAAGAAATACAATATCAAGATATTGCTAAATCTATGTTTGTTTAAGTTTGTCAAGTTAAGATAAATTTGTAGTTCACTGATAAACACTACAAGACAGTGAAAATTACTGATCAAAATTAGTATCTGAACAAGTGCACACCCACCCCTCCCCTAACCCAACAACAGTCAAGTGATAACAAGTTAGGTTTAATGTTGGGTTAGGGGAGGGGTGGGTGTGCAGTAGATCAGATACTGACAGTGACCTAAAATAACATGGGTGAAAACCTGAGAACAGCTATTGCTGTCCTTGACTAGGTGAAAAAGTGTCTAAATTCCTACTTCTGTTAAGAATTGTAATGCTCCATAACTCCCTCTTCAAGCGCCTTTTTTCTCAGTATTTCAAAGCCTTCCTATTTTTTAACTTTGAAATGGATTTTTAAACCTCTCTGAACATGAACAGTGATTAATGTCCCTTAAAGAATTGTGAAATGTGAAATAATTCATAAATTGAGTAAGATCACCTCTCTATCCTCTTTGGAATCTTATTTTTTCTTGACTCAGTTAACTCTTTAACTTCTATAGGTGATTTTAAAAGAGATAACTTCTCCCTATAATATCCAAAAACCAAGTTATGAGAATACTCAAACTTATCAAGTAGTAAAGGCTGATAGTTTC